GTACAAATTAAATAACAGCACATCATAAATATTTACACAGCATTTACATTGTATTAGTATGAGTAGTCAAGAGATGATTTAAAGTATACAGGAGGAGGTGCATGGATTACTTGCAAATACCAGACCTTATTTTTTTTTTAAAAATAGAGTTGGGTTCTCGCTGTGTTGTATAGGCTGGTGTCAAACTCCTGGGCTCAAGTGATCCTCCTGCCTCGGTCTCCTGAGAAACTGGGATAACAGGTGTTGGGCCATGATGCCTGGCCTAACTAAGCCATTTTATAGAAGGGACTTGATCATCCACAGATTTTGGTATCCCTGTGGGTCTAGAAACTGAGGCACTGAGGGACAACTGTATATTTGTCTTTAAGAAGCATTTTTTGGATCGTTTATTATTACTAAGCCTAATACTGTCATCCATATATATAACCATTTATGGAAATATTTGCTATAATTAGGCAGATAATATTATCTATATCCTTGATATGAAGTTGGAAATTGGGAAGAGAAGACAGTGTCCTCAAGGACCTGAGCTCTTTCCATCTTCTGTTCACCATTCTCAGAAAAATCTTCCCTATTTTTTGAATTTAATGTACAGATTTTTCCCTTTTTCTTCTCAGTAAGTCTCAAAAGTAACAATGATTTCTCTCCAAATTGTTTTCTATTTTGCATTACATTTCTCTGAAAAATTAGTAAAATTTGTGGTATTGTTGTATCAAGTCCTGCTCTCTTGTTGAATTCTATTTTGATCTCAGAGAACAAAAATGGGTCTACATTTCAAATTTGTGTGTAGGTATGTGTGGAAGACAGAAATGGTAGCTGCATTACTTGTACAGAAAATATTCCTTGACCATCACTGTGAATCATTAACTATACTGAGTCAAGGTTCCATTGTATTCATTCACAAATTTAGAGAAGTTGTGTCTTGCAATTATGAGGTGCCCAAGCCTAATGCATTGCAGGAGTATCTTGTCTTATCTCTTTTTAGGTGGTTTGCTGCTGTTCAAGAAATAATATTTATTTCTCTCAGACAATTTTGAGCCCTGTAAAGAGTAGACATTTGACTGGGTTCAACGGCTCAACCTGTAATCCCAGTACTTTGAGAGGCCAAGGCAAGTGGATTGCCTGAGCCTGCAGGTTTGAGACCAGCCCGGGCACCTTGGTGAGACCTCGTCTCTACAGTAAATCAAAAAATTAGCACGCTCACCTGTAGTTCTGGCTACTTGGAAGGCTAAGGTAGAAGGATCGCTGGAGCCCAGCAGGTTGATGCTGGGGTGGCTGTGAGTGTGCCACTGCACCCCAGTCTGGGCGATGGAGTGAGATTCCAACTCAAAAAAAAAAAATCTAAGTTTCCTAGATTATATAGCTTTGAAGTTGAAGATATTTACTTCTTTATGGTCTTTTTCAGAGGCTGTACACTTGAGAAGAGGAAGAAAATAAAATGTGTGTGGTCTTCTTCCTTAGGATTGTGCTTGCTGTAGATTTCATCTAGGAACATGAGGACTCACCCTTGTATGAATATTGCGTTGCCACCAAGTCTGTGCTCAGTTCTGCTCTTAATCTGTGCTGCCATCACCCAACCCTCCGTTCCTTAGCTGAGTGGGCTTGGGGGCACGTTGAGTTATATATCACATGAGGAACTAGTTTGTTGCCTGTATATATACCCGGCATTTGAAGAATGTTGAATGCAATATAAAATGAGAATAAATAGTACCCCATCAATGTTTAAAATCTACACGGGAAAATCACACGCCAGTTTATGATCTCTAGACACATCAATTTAGTGACTCAGTGACAGAGGGGCAATTTTAGGGAAACCAAATATAGCTGCCTAGCTGCTAACTGAGAAGAGACCTAGAGCGTGTGAAAATGGACGACCCCTTTCAGGTGTTCCATTCTGTGCATTTGCCAACATTATGGAGCTCAAAACCTTCCCTCCATCACTCCTCTTCCTTACCAGGGAATGCAGAAACATGGGCAGAGCTTTATTTCTTGGTTTTTGAGGTTAAAAAAAAAAAAGATAGTGAAACATGTATTATTAGACAAAATAAGAAATAATGGAGGTTGGTCAGTTCAATTCCATGGTTGCTAGAGCCGCTCAACAGTACCTTACAGACCTGAGCTCTTTCGGTCTTCTGTCTGTCATCCTCAGTGTGCTGGTTTGTCCTCAGGCTGTCACATGCCTGCTGCTGGTCCAACCTGGGCAGGGATTGACATGGCCATTCCACAGGTCCACTCACAGGTTCTCCTTTGCTCAGACAACTGCAGGGAGAGGAGCTTAATCTGGGAGAGTAGAATGGTGATACTAAACTGTCTTGATGAGGTTTTAACAATACATCTTGGGTACTGGTACAAATTAAATGACTATTTTTTAATATGAACATTTAAAACACCATATATGCTAAGTGTCATAAAATGTGAGGATTCAGGGTATGATTTACTTCACTAGTTCTCTAAAACAATGTGTGAGTAACTTGACAGTGTTCTCATTTTTGTCTTTGTAATGAGTGTATGTTGAAAGTTGTCTCTAAATCAACTCGTGTCACCTTAGGGGACATCATCATCATATATATATGTGGAGGGCATATTTCCTGATACCTGTTACCTTCAGGACATTATAGATGTACAGTAAATACTATTGACTGATTGACTGTGATGTTCAAGATAGACCTTTTAGTTGCACAGAATCTTTTTCTACTTTCCTCTTTAGATGGAAACCATATTTCTTGTGAGCCTAATAAATATGGAATTTGTACCATAACTTATGCTGGCCTTGGCCAAAACAAATCAAACACTGGAGGAGGGTATAGTGGGGGCAGGGTAGAGAAGGTGAGTTCCTCAGAGCAACAGTCCATCATATGACTCCTCACCTCTCCTCACCTGCCTGTTCTTTCCATCCGGTATCCCTTCTCAGCATTAACACATTGGAACCAAGTACAAGTAATGGGCACTGTTCATGTCTTTGTTGCATTCAAACTACTTTCCTGCTCTTTATGGTATGACCCTTGTTCAGGACACTCTTCTATAGGGTTAGTACATACAGAGGCAGGTAGTTGGCTGTCCGACTACCTAGCAAATGTCACATAGTTCTCTATAGCTTTGATAAGTCAAAAAGAAAAAAAGAAATCATTTTGGACTCAGGTCTTTCTATTGTCATCATGCAAGTCAGTCATTTTCTCTTTTTAGGTTCTAGCCATTTTTTGCCCCCCAGTGTAAGCTAGAAACTTCTCTCTAACTCTTTTGACCTCAAACTGGATTGCTTCATAGGCTCTGTCCGTGGTTTTAGCTGAACTGAATTCTAACCAGTTAAAAGACATTTTTTAGCTGAAGATAAATCAGTTTATAGTGCTCCCAACTCCTGACCGACTTCTTACTTTAAACAATTTATTCTCCAACTGCCTCTTATTCTTCCCAGTCTGGGCATCTATAATTACATTTTGTTTTATTTACAGTTTAAGCTCCTCCTCATTAGTCATTGTTTCCTGACTTGCCCATTCCAAACAAATTTATTTCCATCATATTTTTTGAAGCATAGAGACTGACATTTTGTCTGCCATTAAGTGGTTAATAATGCAAATGTATTTTGTTATACAATGAGGAGAGGTCTATTTATTGCACATAAGTATCTAACATTAATTTTTTAGGTAGTTTATAAAAGATTTGAGCTTTATTTTGCCATTTCTTTCAGAAGATTATCATCAGTAACCCTCCTAAGGTATGTGATCTGCAAGTCAAGCTCAGGCAAGCCAGGCAAAATAGAAAGATTTTGTGTGTAAAACTGACTCTTTTAAGGTGGTTTTTAATTTTAAAGGGAAATTGAAAAGAAATCAGACCATAATGAATTTATAATTGTATTCAATCATTTCTCTGTATTTTTAAGTTATTGAAATAGTCCTTTAATAGTATATTAGTTGGTGGACATTTAGGGTATTTTTTGAAGGTATTCTTGTAATTTGGTAAGTATGGGATGGGTTAAGAGCCAAATCTATGATAGTATCCAACACTAAGACAACCAGTAAACAAATGTGGTGTCATTTTATTTTATACTCCCTGAGTTACCTGTGATGAGCTTAAGAGGTTTCATGCATAAATGGAAAAATTTTATTTATTCACAGTACTTTGGTATATTATAAAAGTCTAATTAGAGTGTAATCTATTCAGATAGTATTTAGTAGTTAGTAGAAAAGTAGAAATAATTGTTTTCAAGATGTGATAAGGTAGCTATATCTACAGAAGATAATCAAAAAGAATAGCAGTGGGGTATTGATTGCTTTTTGGAGAAAGAAAAATTCGATTCCATTTTGAAATGTTAACAACTTCAAGAGGAAAACTCCCACTTGGGAAGAACATTTTCCAGGTTGCTTCATTGCCAGGTGTTTGACGTTGTGTGATGTCTTAGATGAATAAGGCGCATAGCAGTCTTGGGAGTGACTCACTCCAAGCATCTCTGCTTCCTGCTGTGAAAGATTCTATTTTCAAAGCACACCAGTATCAGTGGAAATGTTCCAGTGGTCTCTGTGCTACTACTAGTAAAGACCAAAGTTTTCTCCCTGAATTGGGATCACTACAGAAGAGGCTACCTGTCTGCTAACAAAATCAATTTCAGAATGTTGTCCGTGAATGAACTGCATGTCCTCTACTGTTTATGGGGTTGAACTCTGTCATTTATTAATGGAAGCAACCCTTGCTTTCTTGTGGTAGTTTTTTTTAACACCATTGCATGCTACAGATATGATTTACAATCATTCTAAGCTTAAAAAATTCCAAATAATATGATAGTTGCTTTGAGACCATCCATATTTTCTCCTTTCCCTTTTTCTCTCTCTTTGACCTAGCAGCAGGAAGCCTTTGTCTGAGGTGTTCATCTGGAACAACTTTTCCACACTTGTTTTCATGTTCTGTTAGATTACAGGGCAGCAGGCCTACCTTTGAAGCTCCTTTCTCTTTTGTTTCTTTGCCGTGCACTCCAGTAATTAACTTTGTCCTTCTTTTATTTGTTCCAGTCAATCGCAGGCCACTCTGCTGAGCATCTTCTCCCAGGAGTACCAGGTTAGAAGTTTTCTCCTTTGTGAGGGTTGACAGGTGCCTAATTGAATGATGAATGTCCCTTTATTTCTTTGTAATTGAACTGCCAGCTCTCTGATTGGGTTGGAGGATGTTCTCCTTTCCACATCAAGCACCGCCTGCGTCTCGGTGGAGGCCTGCCAAGCCTACCCATCCATCTGTCTAATAACATCTAGCCTTTGCTTATTTGGTGGACCTGTAATAAATTATGCTAAACCATTATTATTCTGACAATAATAATTTCCCTGTGTTGCGTGGTTCCATGTGCTAAATGTTTGCTGACTTGCACTGTCAGTGCTGCTTTCCATTGCTGACAGAGATGATGATAAATGACCATTGCTGGAGTGGCAGAAGGCAAGAGAGGCAGAAAATGGAGTCATTTATCATGAGATGACAGGTGTCAGTCAAGTGGCAAGTCTCAATGGAATTACTTTTCGTAGTTTTCAAATAAGTTGTTTTTAAGCAATGTTCTTCCTGGTTAAAAATGGCAATTGGATTGTAAAACTAGAGTGCAGGGGACTTAGATGGAATTGAATCGAGGGAAAATTAATACAAAGGTTGAAAGAGGGAACAAGTTTTTCTTTGCCCTCTGCAGCCCTAAGCAAACTTATTTAGATTCAATTACTATGACCCTGTTGGCTTTTACATATATACTGTACCTTGTGCTACAATCTGAAGACATCTCAGCCAAGCAATGGAGATTAAAATGCATAGGTTCATAGAGTGGAAGGAAAAAACGCCCTACCACTACCAAAATCCCCAAGCTATTATTCACTTTGCCCTGTGTGCTAGTTGTTGGGATCAAGAAATATGTCATTCTTGTTCTGAACCTGATCTGTGACACAACATAAAGTTTTTTTTGTTTTGTTTCAGAAACATATTAAAAGAACACATGCCAAACATCATACTTTGGAAGCGATTGAAAGTTATTACCAGAGGTATGACCTTCCTGCCCCACTAGAGGGTATCATAGTACCTATTAATTGTAATAATAATTATGAATAAATTAGATTTTTTAATTACTTTTTTATATCATAACCCAAGACATTTTGTTTTAAGTATGTTATTTAAAACTTTTAGTATATTTTGAATGAGTTTTCAAGTTCTTTGTTTTGTAGATCTAAAGAGTATGGCAAGACTATCTTGACTTCTGTGTGAGTGTGCACATACTATGTGAGAATAGTTATAATATTACTAAATCTCAATTGGTTACTCGAAACTTATAAGTGTATATCTTGTGCAAATGCACATGCTGATATATATATCTATCTACATGTATTTATGAAAGTTCTCGAGCCAATTTCTATTTATTTTAGATTATCAAGTTGAAAAAATAAGATTGAGTTTTGATGTAATTTGTATTTTGCATCATAGGTATTGGGATTTCCATTTTAGAAATAAAAAAAGAGACATATCAAGCAAGGACATATGGAGATAGTGTATAACTCATGTTTTAAAGAGACTTTTGTATGTTAAAGACAATCTTGGGTATTAAATTAACAGCATAGTTAGTATCCAGGGGATATTTTAATTTCAGCCTAATTTATTATAATTTTCAACTCTTGTTCTGAAACAATCTTTAAAATAGCTCTGATTTTTAATTCTAAAATTTGTATTTTCATTGTAATATGACTGAATAATTTATAACACTAAATGGTAATGGTTTGCATTAGAAATTGTTGGCTGGTTTCTTAAATATTTCAAGGGCACATTGGAAAGAAAAATTGTTTGAAATATGCTTTTAAATTATTACACTTAAGATTGACAGATCAACCTTTCTGTGGTGAGAGTGACACTACTGATGTTAGATGAATGATTTTTATGCATGAAAATTTTATGAATGAAATAAATATGTGGATAAAATATTAGTGTCATGTTTCTGTGTTTTTAGAATTGAGAAATGGATATTGAACAGAAAAGTCATTGAAGTTAGATTTTTTAAAATGTACTCACTCTGCCATATGTGGTAAAAGATATGCTTTGTTTTGAGTAGTACTATCTGTTAAAGAATGAGACATATACACGCTATACACACACACACACACACACATTTGTGTCTAGGAGAGCTTCTCTCTAAACAGGTCTTTGTAAAGTTTGAATTGATTTATTCAAAAGTCATAACCTTCTTGGTGAAATTGACATTTAAATTAAAGGCATAGCCTAATTTATACATATAAAATTAAGAATGGCCCACGAAGTGCTGTGAAACCGCTTTCTCATCTGAACCCTCCAAAGAAAGACTGAAAAGTTATTTATATGCCATAAAATATATTGTTGTTTGTAAACATTATAGTCCTAGGCTGTCATATAAAAGTATGGTTTTATGTCCAGATGTTAAAGCCTTGTAATGTAAGCAAAGGAAAAATAGAGCATTTTAAAACAAAGTGTACACTTTCCTTAGGCATGTGGAGATTCACAGAGCTGCTCTCTGATACTCGTTTGCTTCATTGTAAAAAGGTTATTTTAATTAGAAAGATTTTTAAGATCACCAAGTGTTACTTTTAAAGCCATAGTTTCACTAAAAGTATATTTAATTATTGAAGTATGAACATACTTTTGCTGGATTATCTGGGTGGTTTAGGCCAGAAATGAAAATCTTTGTTTGGCTATTCAATGACAAGCAATTTAATGTGCAATAATGGCAACACAAAAATATATTTGTATTTCTTTATATTTGTATAAATATAAGAATCTCAATTATTTTGAAGAGTTATGGCACTTGAAACAAAAACATGAAGTTAGGCTAAAAGTCAATCTCAGAAGAAAGCAGTCTGACCAGTTTCTTTCTTTACCAACCTGTTCTCTGACTTTCTGCCCTGCACTTTGTGCTTGGGGACAGGCCATGTTGTTACCTTTCAAATGGATTGAACTCAGTAGCCTCTTGTTTTATATGTACAGGTCAAATGTCCCTGTCTGCGCTAAGGTAAATTGGCCTTAAAAGGTTTTTGTTTGTTTCCCAACTGATTAGAATAAAGCCAAATTGTGTTTGTTATATCAAAACATATTTAAGCGGTTTGAAAATGTTAATGACTATTATTTTTCTTTTATATAGTAATACTCAGCTATTGTGAAAATTAAGCACATTTGTAATGGTATAAAAATGGAATGAATGTCCATAATTGTGCCATTCAGAGATACCTTACATTCATTCTAGTCTTTTGTTAGTCCATTTTTATATAGATGAGGCCATACTATATAAGCAAATGTGAATCCTGCGTTTTATACTTGGAAAAATATCTATGACATACTATGATTCTTATACTTATTCTTTTTTTATTTATTTATTTTTGAGACAGAGTCTCACTTTGTTGCCTAGGCTGAAATGCAGTGACATGATCATGTCTCACTGCAGCCTCAACCTCCTGGACTTAGGCTATCCTTCCTCCTCAGCCTCCTGCGTAGCTGAGACTACAGGTGCATGCTACCAGGCCAGGCCAATTTTTTTGTGTCTGTTTTGTAGAGATGAGTTTTTGCTATGTTGCCTATGCTAGTCTTGAACTCCTGGACTCAGTTATTCTCCCCACCTCAGCCTCCCAGAGTGCTGGGATTACAGTTGTGAGCTGCTGTGCCTGGCCTGATACAAAATTATTTGTAAAAGGCTTTTTGTAAACATTTCAAAATTGAAATGTTTGATTGTCTTACTTATCATATGAAAATGTCATACTTTACTGAATTATTCCTCTGTTGAACATACATGTTTGCAATGTTCTGCTGTTGTAAGTAATGCTGTAATAAACATCTTGATGAACATGAGTCTGCATTTTTGGTTAGTTTTTTAATATGTCTATATATGTAATTACTGGTGTAAACAATGTGAGCATTTAAAATTTTTATTATATGTTACCAAATTACTTTCTAGAAATGTTGTACTAGTTACATTCCTACCAGCAGTATAAGATAATTTCTGGGTCTCTGCATTCTTGCTAGTATTGAGATGATGTCCATTAAGAGTTCAAAGTCTATATTTAATGTGATTCCATTATTATTCATTGAAACTTCATGGTATCCAGATAGCAGTAGAAAGTGTTTCTCAGGATTTTGAATTATTGAGGAAATTTCTTTAGTTCTCCATGTTGTATATTTACAGACATAGCTTCATTGTTTATTTTGAAAGCTGTCTCTATTCTTTCACGCTGTACTAATGCCACTTTATTTCTAAACAGGACACTGTTGGTAAAATTTATTTAGTTTTGCCTAAATTGGTGCACATGGGCATATGTGCACACACACAGAGTTGGTCAGATTTGCAAATTCTCATCAGTATCCAAGTTTAGAAATATTTTCTCCTTCTTCTTCCTTCTCCCAACACACTGGCTGAGGGGCCCACTTTAGTAGCTTTAGAGAAATCAGAATTTCACTCAGATGTTTACATGGCAAAAAGGTTGGTTCAAATATGACATTGACAATATGTACGTGATAAAAGTAGTTTCTGAAAACCTGAGCCGCTTTTCTGCTCAATTAACACCTTCTAATTTGCCCTCACTATGCCCCATCTACTGTCCTAGGTACCGACTATGCAAATACGAACAAGACACAATACCTTTCTCCAGTGGTTCTGTTTAGAGGGAAAACAGCTGCATACATAAATATGTAAAATGCAGCAAGAGAGATGCTCACAGATGTATATATACACGGAGTGCTGTGAGAGTTCCAATACTTAGTGATTTGGGATGTCCAGAGCAACTGGCTTACATAAGTCTAGAAATAAAAGAGTTACCTTTCCTATTTTGTTGAGAAGGGGAGCACATTCCAAGCTGAAGGAACACAGTCAGTGGAAGAGCTGTGGATGTTTGTGGGCCAGAGTAAGGAGGGGATCCAGGGAAGCCCGGGAAGGCAGGCAAGTGCCAAAGGTCTTGCTCAAAGGAGTATGGTGTATTTTTGTTATTAGACACTGTGTAATCCATGATGGAATTTAGCAAGGGAATGACCCAGTTATATTTTCATGTTGGGAAGACAATTTTGTGGCAGTGTGAAAGAACAGGGAGCAGAGGAGCTACGAAGTCAGCTCTTAGTGTCGTTTCAGTGAGTGAGACTCTGGTGGCAGTGACAGTGGGGATGGGCTCCAGAGATTTTGTAGTAGAATCAGCAGAGAGGTGTTCAGATGTAAACCTGGTATAAAAATTTTGGTAAGTTCTTGAAATTTTGCCATTAACAGTTACTATACAACTATTTAAATATCAAATAACTTTGTCTTATAATTAAAATGAGTGTATATTATTTTAATCTCAGTTGCTAATAGAACTTTCACACTCAAAATTCATCAGAGAATGGGCCTTCTCTGAGGATCTTTTAAGGGTGATTTCACCTATAGGATGTACATTTGTTAGTTCTCCTGTGGCAAAGATGGCGGATGTCATATAGCTTCTGGGTAAAGTGGTTTTAATTGGCAAAATAAGCATCAAGAATAGAGCCCTCACCTTAATGTAGCGGTCACCCTAATGTACAGGTCACCTTAATGTAGTGTTCAGGATGGCATCCTTATATCTCAGTGGCAACTGAGATCTTTGCTAGGGATCTGTTGTGTGAATGTTAAAAATTCATTTGTGTAGCCCTGCCCCAGGAAGCTTCCATTCTAGTTGGAGAGAAAAACAAATTGTTGTCATAGTATGAAAAGTGCAGTGCTGTAAGTTTGCATAAGATACTATGAAGAGCCGGGCTCGGTGGCTCAGCCTGTAATCCCGCACCTTTGGGAGGCTGAGGTGAGTGGATTGCCTGAGCCCGCGGGTTCGAGACCCGCCTGGGCAGCGAGACCTCATCTCTACAATAAATCAAAAAATCAGCCGGGCGTGGTAGCGCATGCCTGTAATTCCGGCTACTTGGAAGGCTGAGGCGGAAGGATCGCCGGAGCCCAGCAGGTCGAGGCTGCGGTGGCTGGGAGCGGCCACTGCACTCCAGTCTCGGCGACAGAGTGAGACTCCAACTCAAAAAACAAACAAACAAACAAACAAAAAAGATACTATGAGGATACTGAGAAAAGTTGCATTAGGATTTTCTGATTATGTCTTTACTGAATATTTTCTGTAATTAGCATGTCCCCTTGATTGGATATCTGAAAATCTGAATAGAGTCAAATCTGTCACTTTAATGTGGGGGGTAATTAAAGTTCCCAGAAAAGACAAATACATTCTCAAATTAAACTTACTTTTTTCCCCTTAGCCCTTTTGAAGTGTTAGAGGATATGGCTGGGAAACAAATTGGGCAACATAAAGTCAGAATAGGTCGACCCTTTTCAACACATAAAGCGCCTCTCTTAGCCTTGGAGGATAAGGGTTCCATTTTGGAGCTTTATTGCTTTCCAGCTAAAAGAGCCCAGAGGGGTTTTATCAGTGCCCTGGAGTTTGGACTCTTTGTGTGACAACTGAGAAGCTTTACCAACCTCATAATTAGGAATTTCCACTGTATTAAGTATAATCATGCTTTGAATATTATGTAGACTATGTAGATAAGGGGGATTATTGTTATTGTTTGACAATCTCTTGTTTCTTTAAACTTGATAGAAGATCTCTGTTGGTCCTTACCAGGACAATGATTGATGCAACTTTTACATGAAATCATGTAACTTTGGCTTAAAACCACAGTTCTCCACATCAGACATGGGATGGTGTCTCACTATTTGCCGTCAGCTCTCACCATGACATGATCCTTCCTTTCATGCTGGATGTTACTACTCAAGATTCACTTCCTTGGAGAGGGAATTCCTAATCGACTCATTTAAGTTTACAATTTATTGTGGCATATCATTATATTATTTCTCTGTCATTTTATCATCTGCCTCTCCACCGTGATGTAATCTCTGTGGTGGTGGAACCATGGATGTTTTGTTCCCTGCAACTTCCTCAGATCTAGGGATACGGCTTGACACATAACTCTCCAACAGAAAACTAATTAAAGTTCCCAGAAAATACCTGAATGTGAAGGAAATTTTGAGGATATCCCCAATATCAGTATAGGTATAAACCATGACCCAGAATCAGAACCCTTAATAAATATGTGCTTCTGGTGGATACAAACACACAATTATTTGGTCTGATTTGACTGAACTAATGGGTGGTTGCAGTGGACATGTTTGTGCAAGTTGACATGCGGTTCTTTACCAACCTGTTTCTCAGGAACCTTTCTCTAAATCACATTTCTCTTTGTTTTATTCCTTTTTTACTTCTTGTCTCCCCTTGTCTCCCCTGTGTCCTTATTTCCTGGTTAGTTTCCTATGTAATATATTCCAGAAGGATCTCAAATGTGGAAAATGGATTTCTTAGAATTATTTTGAAGTTATCATGATTCAGAGCCTTTCCCCACCTAAATAATTTGCTCTTACACCACTCTGCTTATAGGAAAATTATGCACCCTTGTAAGTATACTTGGGAAATAATATAATTTAGTATCTGTTCCTGGCAGTTTTAGGGAAGACCTCACCTACTGGCTTTGTTTTTTTCCTATCAGACATATATCCTGAACTTATTCACTCAAACAGTATGCTACAGGGAAAATGTCCATACCTAATTCTACTTTCTTGTCCGTTATAGTTTTTAAAGATTATGTAATTATGCATTTGTTAAAGAAAAATACCAGGGATGCCCAAAATATATACACATTTTAAGAGATGTTATCTATGTATTACTTTTTGAAGTTGAATATAATTATGGTAGCAATGTGCAACACAATGTAGGCTCAACTGTGTTCCAACCATTCTCTTTGACTGTACTGCCTGCCACATAGTGATGCTGGCATTAATTTGATTAATGCAGTCTTTTGGGTGAACAGCACACTTAAAATGTATATACATTTTTTGGCCCCCCTTGTATAATAATAGCATAATTACTTACCATATTAACCAAGAACTGTGCTAAGCATAGTAACTTGAATAAAATACAATCCTCTCAAACTTCATAAGGCTTTCAAAATTACAATGTGAGGTGGGTTTTAGGTAGACAAGAAACTGGGCAAATACACTATGCTACGTTACATAAGAGGGCGATGTATGCGGTACTCCTCAATTGCATATGAGGGGCTCTTAACTTACTCTTCGATGGTGGTAGATCGAAAGTTGCATCTAAGTTGAATCATGAGTTATCCAGGCGAGGAGTTAGAGTGGAGGACAGAGACGAGGCTGGCAGAATAGAGTAAGGAGGACCCGGATGAGGAAGAACCTCACAAGAGCTGTTAAGTAGTTGTGATTTAATCTTGAGATTTAATGTAGGGACTTGGAAAGATTGTAAGGAGAAGAATGGCACCTTCCAATTTTTGTTTTTTAAAACACTCATCCCAGCTTCCATGTCTGGGATGGACTTGGGGAGTTTTGTTTATTTGCTGAATTTTTGGTGGCGTTAGGGATGACTAGAGCGGGAGGATGTTACAGAAATCCAGGGCAGTTAGGTGATGGCTTGTATTGCCTATCAAAGGTGTGCTGATCACCGATGACAAGTGTGTTCCATTTTTTTTTTTTTTGAGTTGGA